AGCTGTGGGCTAAAATCAATATTTCCATATCGAGTGTGGTTCTCATTTGTTCTTCTTGAAAAAAGAATAGTAAAGTATGGGAAGTGCTTACACAATGCCAAGTACAAAAAAAAAATATCAATCAATGTCTATTATTATTATTATTAGCATCCCTCTACCGAGATACACGAATGCGCTCATAGTGCGATTTCACCGCTGTTGGTTCTTTCCTGTGTGCACTAGAACGGGATGCACCTATTTTTCATCGCTTCCTGCAAAATGTTTACGTTTAGGCCATTTCTGTCCTTGAAATTTCTCGAGGTTGTGGGTTTTGAGACATCGAGGTCAAATCTTAGAGAACAAGGAGAACTGAGTTTCAGGGATGCCACGGTGAGCGCTAGAGAAGCGGGGAGCAAAGAGGTCCTCCCTCACCAGAAAGGGCTTCCACTCGGCTGCCACGGAAGGACGTGGCCGAGCCTGCAGACCGAGTCTGGTGGAGATCTGACTCCAAGGGAGTCAATGCAGAAGGGAACGCAAGCTCCATCCGGTGCTCCTACGCATGTAGAACAAGGCACGGGAACCACAGCGCAACCACCAAAATAGAATTCTGGCTGCAATGGCATGGCTGTAAAATATGTTACGGCATCATCATAAAGTCACACTCTTGAGCCAGTGTGAAGCGTCCTGGAAAGGCGTATTCCTGCTCATAAAATCGGGTCAGAGAAAAGAGGACCAGAGGCATACAAAAGAAGAGATTCTCGTTTCTGAGATTGTGCAGATCTCCTGATTTCTGCTGTGGTGCAAACATCCGTGTCTCTTGCTCAAACTGTGGGCAGTGCAGACTGTGGGAGAAGACTGTTCTCTCTGATGCTCAGGGCCCCAGGCTGATGAGAACCCTGCCTTCCCGTGGCTGCCTAGCTCTCCTGGCACAATGTCAGGGGAAGAGGGAAATAAAGAGCATTTATATCCCTATGCCTGTGTTTGGAATTGACACATCATTTCCACCTACAGTCCACTGGCCAAATGCGTCACGTAATCGAGCCACTGTCAAGGCTCTGGGCGATTTGGGGAAGCACCCAACATTCAGAGGGCAGTAGATGTCTCTTCTACACAGAGCTCGGCTCATCTAGTCCGGTGTTTTCCAAATTGTGCCTCTTGGACCCCTGGGCTCTGCAGAGGCGTGTAATGAGTTCTGCAGACAATGAAGTCAACTAAATGTCGGGTCAAATGTATCATCTTTCATCTGCTTTTTTATCGTGAGATCTATAGATCAATGTGTTGTGGAAAGAAACATTTTGCTTCCAAAAGAAATCAGCAACTTGCTCATTTGTTCCAATTTTTGTCTTCAAAGAATTGTTCCGTTAAACCATCGCTCCCAGAAGGTGGTTTCATTAGTCGCTGAGCATCCTTCCAGAGAACATAACCTGGCATTTCTCCAGTTTGCATTTCAGCTTCTTAAGTAGGAAAGTCAGAATGTTAGGCCGATATCTCTGCTTACGTATTATGATTCTAAACATGCTTATCTTAGCAGCAGCAGCAGCAGCAATAAAATCCGAGGAGAGTTTGCATACATTGTGAAGCAGACACCATGGGTTTTCCTTTAGGTTCCTTTTACATAATTCTTTCCCAAATTCTAAGTCCCCAGAAGACAAAGCTGAAACTAGGACCATTCCCTATTTTGCTGGTTCCCGTCTCTGCCAGAAGAGAAAATCCATACATCTTCCTTCCCCTTTGGCCTATTGGGTCTCTAATGACCAGGGCTATTTTTGTGAAGGAAGGAGGCAGAACACTGCTCCCAAAAAGAGCCCATTTTTATTCTTAGGCAGTGCAGGCTATAGTACACCGTCAGAACTTATAACATTTGGACAACATTTACACTTATATGCCCTTACTAAAAATATGCATTTTTGCCGGGCTGGTGTGGCTCAGTGCTTGGGCATCAACCCATGCACCAAGAGACTGCTGGTTTGATGCCTGGGCAGGGCAATGCCTGGGTTGTGGGCCAAATCTCCAAAGGGGGGCATGCAGAAGGCGGGCAGTCCATGTTCTCTCTTATCCATGTCTCTATCTCCCTCTCCCTTCCTCTCTCTCTCAAATCAATAAAGAAAAAAACTTTTTAAAAATATGCATTTTTATCAGATATTTTTCTTGAAACAGTGAATGGTCCCTTCCCGCATCTGCTACGTTTTATTCTAGGTCCGTCTACTGCAGTTCCCACAAAGGGGAAGGAGTGGAGGGCTCTTGGAGAAGAGAGTTGATGAGGAAGGAAACTGGTACACACAGGAGCCCTTTCCTCTTCCATTTGTAGTGTCAGCTGCACAATAAATTAGCTCCTTTCCCCCAAAGAGTTAAGAGAGAACTGAGTGTGGATTATGATGATGAAGTCAAAGGTGCTGTCTCCTGTGGGTACCATTTTCTCTTTAGGAAGGATGCAGTGCTGCTTAGTGTTAGGAGGATATGCTTTGGAGCCAGATTCCCTGGGTTCAAATCCTGCCTCTGCTACTCACTAGCTGTGTGGCCTCAAAGGTCACCCAGCCTCTCTGAGCTCCACTTCTCTCATATGTAAAGTGGGGATAATAGTAGAAACAAACCCGATGCACTGAATTATTGTAAAAATAGCCTAAGTGGGTGGATGAAAAGAGCTTAGCGAAGTTCCAGGCACACAGTAATGGCTCGAGCGATAAAAGGTCATGGCATTGGTTTCTGGAAAGCAGTCGGCATTTTGTCAAGGGAACAAATGTTTACACAGAGTTGCACTCTTGTCAGTAATAACCTATAGCCATGTATTAAAATACCAAAAAATAAGGCTGTAACTAGGAACAACAAAACATTTTTAAAAATTATCCAAGCCCAATATTTAACAGAGATAGATGGAAACATTTATTCTAAAATCATTTTTGAAATGAAAGACACCGTGGGAAGGAAAGCCAGCGGTCGGTCCACTCCCATCTGCAGACTCTGGGCAGAGGGCTCACCAGGCATTGGTGAGCGCTGTCCAGGGTCCTCCCTGGACCGAATCCATAGCTGGAACTCTACTGGAAAGGAAACAGTTGTGGAGGATTCATCCTGCTACGGTCTGAGGGTTTGTGTGCCCCTCCCCCTCACAACTGAAATCTTAATCCCAATGGTGATGGTGTTAAGGTTGGGGCCTCTGGGAGGTGATTAAGTCATGAGGATGGAGGTGACCTAGGGAGTATCAGGTGGAGGCGGAAGGAAGTGGAGGCAGAAGACTGGCCAGAAGAAATAGTCCCTTGGGAACCAGGCTCCCTGTGAAGCTAAGTAAATGTAATGGGAATAAATGGGTGAGAGAACTGGGAGGGCAGAAGGCTCTGGCCAGAGGAGAGGCTATCTCGGTTTAAAACTTCAGAGGACAGGCGGTTAGGGATGGGGTGACGAGTTCTAGTGCTGGTTGGGTAGAGAACAGAATTCTGAATGTCGTTTTGATCCTATTTTACCACAATGTGAGATCACCTAGAAGCAAAACATCCTTGTGGAGGTAGCTAGCATGGCACATGGGATTAAAACAACAACAACAACAAAAACATTAACTCTCCTTTTCCTTGTTCCAAGGGAAGAAATATACACAGATTTTACCTTCTTTTTTCTTTTTTTATCCTCACCCGAGGACATTTTTGCATTTATCTTCAGAAAGAGCGGGAGAGAGGGGAGGAAGAGAGAGAGAGAAACATCGATGTGAGAGAGACAGATCGAGTGGTTGCCACCCACACGACCCTAACCGAGGCCGGAGACAAACTACAACCGAGGTACGTGCTCTTAGCGGGAACCGAACCTGGGTCTCTCTGGTCCGTGGGCCAATGCTCTAACCTCTGAGCCAAACCGGTCAGGGCTTTGCCTTCATTTTTATTTGGCAGCCTGGAACAAAGGAGTTCATGTATTTACTGACAGAACTGTGGAATTAAGTGGTGGCGGATTCTTTTTGAAAGTGCATAAACTTGACAGCTAACATTCATCCTTACCGAGCAATAATGAGATAAACACCAGCTCTGAGCGGTTGCAAATTCAGCTGAAAGGTGTTTCATATGCAAATACAGTGTTTCACCATGAGCCTTCCCTGAGAACACACCTGCTATATTTACTGGAATTTGCCAGATTATAGTCTGCAACTCTCAGCTCTGCGGGGGACTTCTACACTTTCTTCAGCCCATGCGGTCTCCAGACCCCTAAGCCTGCTAAGCTGAGCTACAAACTGCTAGCTAAGCTTCAAAATCACTGTATTAGTCTGGAAGAGTCAATATCCTCCAAAGTGCTTAATTTTCTCCTAGGGAATCATCTGCTCGTTAGCAGGAAATAGATGACTAAGCAATCATTATCAACGCCACGAGATCATTCGAGCTCAGGGAGCAAATAATCCAGAAGACAGCATGCATTACAAAGCTTACTTATTGGAAATAAAGGAGGCAAGCAGCATTTTATTGAATATTAGAGGAAAAATCATGACATCACTGATCACTCTCTTATTATTGTCATATATTTTCCCTGAACATACAGATTTTCTTTTCTGGATTTCATAGTAAATATTTCAGGTATAAGTCTTAAGTAATAGAGTTGAACGTTGTTATTTGCCTCAACACACCATTATATCTGTGTTTCCATACATTAGCAAAAACATTACCTCAAATACCTTAAGTCAAGAGTGTTTTCACCTTAATTAAAATACAAATCAATACATCAATCTACATATATTTATTAAATATGCCTTATAGAGAAGGAGCTGTCCAGAGGTGGTTGAGTGTAGAGATGAGTGTAACACATGATCCCTGTCTTCAGAGGTCTTAGAAAGCTATCATTTTATGCATACTTTTAGCATCAGACATGTTTATAATAAAAAATTATATTAATAGAGCATAATAATTCCAATTTCCAGTTAAGAATCATATTAAGAAAAATAGACATATCCAGAAATCATTATTTAATATTTTTTATACTAGTCTTTCTCAAAACAGAAGATTAAGTACAGTGAATTAAAGTACTAAGGTTTTCATTCAAATGGCATTATTCTATTTAAAGTTCTAATACAGTTTTGCGGGAACCAAATTCCAGCTTCTTAAGAAATGCCTCCTCGTCTTGATCATTCAAACATTTTCTCTAAACCATGTATTTAGGTCTTCATATCAGTGAGAGTGATGTCAGATTGTTGGTCTACTCTTGGGACTCCAAACAGAGGTACCATTTGGACACTTGTTCGAGCTAAATACTAAAGCACAGTTCAGCAGCACGTTTTGGTCGCGCCTGGGTCCAGGTGCTGCCAGGCCAGGGGATGAGGGCAGCCACTCCTCCAGAAGGCCTGGTCCTCCTCAGACCCAGAAGATATCATGTTCTTCGTGTATATTCAATTTGGCATTGTCCTTCTGGCTGCTGGACACCCAACAGATGGAGAGAACGCTAAAAGCAGAAATGTGGAAATTAAGAGACAAAACCAACAGTTTTAGACCTGAGATTTATTCAGTTATAATTATCCCAAAGGTTCAGAGCTGAGATTTAGAAGACTGGGAGTGTTTGCTTGATGAGTTTCCTCAGTCTGAGCCGAGGGACAGACTCCCATTCAGGGGTCAGAAAAGAAGACAATCCCATCAGTTTCACTTGCCACCCTCCCTTCACTTTGGCTGAAGAGGAGACCACAAATAAGACTCTTTCTACATTCCGGGCCCCTAACTGGGACACCTCATTTACAATCTCTGGGTGAGACCTCTATGCCGGTGTGGCTCGGTTGGTTGGGTGTCATCCCGGGCACCAAAAGGTTGCCGGTTTCATTCCTGGTCAGGGTACCTGCCTGGGTTCCACGCTCAATCCCTGGTGGAGGGCATGCAGAAGGCAGATGCCCAATGGTTTGCTCTCGCATTGATGTTTCTCTCTCTCTCCCTCTAAAAATCAATTTTAAAAATTTTGTGAAATTTCCTATGGATCCATAGACCAACCAAACAAAACCCCACGATAGTGCTAAAATGTGCTTGCTTTTGCAGCCCAATCACGGACCCTGGAGAGTTTTGTGTTTCCTTATTGTTTGGCTCTTAATGGGAGAGAACTGAAATCCAATTAATTTCTTAAGATCTTCTGAGGTAAAATAGAATACTCGGCTGCTGCAAAATTAAATTGGAGATTCTCGCATCTGATTTTTGCTACTATGACAAGTACATTCCTTTGAGGGAGCCGATTTTCAAGTCCAGTGCTCTCTCTGCATTGATAAAGGGGCTCAGAGCATGCCCGGCAAGCCGTCCCTCACCTAACCTACAAGAGCAGGGTAATTTCAAGGTCATTTCCTACAGTTTCGGATCATCTCATTTTACAACTTAGTAAAACAGGTGCAATAATTACAGAATTTCAATTGATCTTTCTCTTTCTTGAATAGGAATTATGACACAGAACGCCCTTTGAGATCATAAGAATTCACTTAGACCACCTGTACTTTTGACAAACTGAGAGAGCATTTCTTTCAAAGATGTTCTTCATAGTAGCAGAACGGAAATAGGATGTATGTAAAACAGCCTAATGAATACGACTACCAGGATTTTTAGCTAGGAAGGAAGTGCTGGGGAGTCCTGCCCGAGGGCCTGGTCTAAATGACTGCTCTCCAGCACAGGTGTCGCATGACTTTGACCGACATCACCCTTCTGATTGGAAACGGCACCTCTGTTTCTCACTGGTGGGAAAAGAGCTGACCTCTGGGCAAAACTGTGACATGTAACCCGGGGCACCAGGGACCAGTATTTGGTGCCTGTAAAGCCTGATCTTCATTTTGAAAAAAAAAAAAAAAAAAAAGCCTGTACTCAGCTGAGGACCCTTGTGAAGAATGTTTATTCCCCTTTCATTGTAGGATTTTGAGAGCTCTTCATGACCCGTAGTTTACTTGTTCTCAAAATAGAAGTGCAAACGAAATCGGGGAAAGTGCTGAAAGGTGCACTTTCGTGAGTAATATGATATTGTCTGTGTCACTTACGCACTTACATCATTTCTATTGAAATGTCACCCAAGAGTTTTATTTATCCCTCCATACATTAGCCTTATTATATCAAGTGTAAACCAAAGCACAGAATGCTACGTGAATAGCCCTGCGATTGCAAATGCTTCATTTCTGAGTTTCACCATCCGTTTAAATAGCACCTTTTCTCCAGAATTTTCAAAATGACTTCCAAACATTTGGAGCTAACTTGCATTCCCCCTTATCTCCTTGGACAGTGGTGGTGGTATCCAGATCAGAAGCACCACAGCTTGTTAGAAATGCAAACTCTGGAGCCTCCCCACTTACTGGGTCAGAAAATCTACAGGTGGGGCCGATGTTCTGGATTCTAACAAGCCCCCCAGGGGATTCTGATGCTCCCCCAGTCTGAGAGCCGGAGGAGAAAAGAATTATAGGACATGGAGGCATTGAATGGAAGAGTCAATGATCAGAGGCTGGAAAGGTCACAGCCTTTCATCTCTGTCCGCCGGTTCTACGATGGGTCGGTTCTCTTCCATGCTACTGATTTCCAAGTGGACCAAGGGCTATGACTTGCCTCTGGACCCACAGGCATACCTTTCTAGGGAGACAGGCCCGACCTCAAGGCCATGTTCATGTCACCCAGGAAAAGGGGTTAACACTGGTGAAGTCGTGGGCGAGGTCCTAACACTAAGTGGTGGGAACACTGCTGCTGGGCCCTGGTCTTGTGGTGATGGTGCACACGGATTAGATCCGGAATGAAGGGAGAATCTTCTCGGTCTGGTTCAATGGTAGGCACCTGCTAAGATCAGGCCTAAGTGAGGGCATCAGTAACTCATCTCCAGTAATTAAAACCAAGGGGTGAGAGTTTATATCAAACTTGAAAGTCATACTATTCAAAATTCTGAAAACACTTACCTGTTTTGGCAATGGGTCTAGAAGACGGCAGTCATAATAATAAAATAATAAAATAATACACATTTCAATCTCTAACATAGCAAGCCACCTGGAAGAAAAATGTAAAATTGGTACTTGGTTATGAAAAGTATATAAATATTCTCTACCAATAGAGAACACCTAGAAAGTACACACAGTTAGAACAAATATGCCCCTCTTGGCCATATAAGCTTTTACTATTGAAAGGATAAAGGAAGAACATACTCTTTTCTTCCTCATCTTATTGCGCCCCAGGTTATTGCGCTCCAGTTTATTGCACCTCACAGATGTTGCAATTTTTACAAATTGAAGGCAAGATCCTCCACCAGCAAAAAGACTGTGATTCACTTTATTGCAGTGGTCTGGCACTGAACTCACACTATCTCTGAGGTGTGCCTGTATAAAACTGTCTACTCAGTAGGTTAGTTGGGATAATTAAATTGCTTAAAAATGTATGCAACATGCTTAGCAAGTACAAGCACTTAATAAATAAAAGGCCGGTCTCTTCTATGTTTAAATCTGTGTTTTACAATATGGTGAGGTTAACCACATGTGGCTATTTAAATTTAAATAAATTAAACAAAAAGCATTTCAGTTCCTCAGTGGCACCAGCCGTATTTCAAGTGCTCAATAGTCATATGTGCTACTGGCTACTATATCGGACAGTACATACTTAGAACATTTCCAAGATCACAGAAAATTCTATTGGACATGGAGGGACCTGGAAAGTATTATCCTAAGTGAAACAAGCCAAACAGAGAAAGACAAGGATCATATGATCTCACTTATTTGTGGAATATAATGAACATAACAGTCTGAGGAATGGGGTAGTCCCAGAGACGTGAAAGCGGGGTACAGACTGACAACCCCCAGAAGAGGGAGTGTGGGGGGAAGATAAACCACAGAACTTATATGCATGTATGCATGAACAATGAACATGGACAACAAAGCTGGGGACAGGGAGGGGAGAGAGGGGGGAATCAGTGGGGGAAAAAGGAGAAACATCTATAACTAAAATTAATTAATTAATTTAAAAAAAAACAAAAGAAAATAATATTGGACAGTCTTGGCTGATCTAGACCCTTACTGCCCACTGGAAATTATTGCCTAAATGTTCCATAGGCACCAAGAGTTCCCCACAAATTATGTACAAATAGTACTGTATTAGTTTGCTGTCTACTTTGTAAGATACATACAAATAGAAACTGAAAAACTGAGAAAAATGTAAATGGAATTCTGCTCTTTTTTTTCTTTCCCTCCAGTGGGTTGTCTTGAGCTCTCTACAGGGTACGCAAACCCTTTGAGAGGTCATAGCCCTTAATGAATACAATTAGTCCAAGAGGTCGGAACACTGGAAGTCATCATAGACTCAATCCTCTCCATCACTCTCCGCATCCAATTAGGCACTGAGACCATCTGCTGTATCACAACTCCCCAGGCCCTCCCCTTATCCCTTTGTCTCCAGTCCCTTCTCCCTCTGTGTGGTTCTTCCCGCTTATTCCCTAGATTACTGTTAGTTTAGCTTCCAGATTGGTCTCTCTGCTTTCAGTTGCACTTCCCTCCACTCTACCCTTCACTCTACCACTGGAGTGAACTTCCTAAAACATAAATCTATCACTGCTGCCTCATTACACACAAAGACAGACAGACAGACAGACACACACACACACGGGGGGTGGGGTGGGGGGGAGATGCTTCCCATTTTCCTCAAAATGCAATCATACCTTGAAGATCTGCCCTCTAGCTGTTTCCCCAATAGCTTCTCTCTGAACCCCATGCTCCTGCCACACTGTACACCGATGGTCCCTGAATGGTGACGCTCTCTGTCGCAAGTGCTTTCCCTGTCTGAGGCTCAAGCTCCTTGGAAGGCAGTCCTAATGGCTTGCCTCTGGGCTGAGCACCTTCCTCTCTGCTTTTGTGGCTCCCTGTGCATCTATGGCATCGAACTTCAGTTATTAGTTATTTCTCTCCTAGAAGAGGAACTATATTGTTGAGTCTTGGCACAATGCATAGCACACTACTGGTGCCTAATAATGTTGACTGAAGAAATGGATAGATGATGGGAGGTGATACCTTTTATAAAGCAGATTCCATTTCCTGCCCTTTGCAACCTTCTCTGTGTTTCTGCGGCACCTGAGACATCCCTCAACTATCATCCTTACCTACAGTCCTACTATATCCTGTAATACAGTTAGCCATTTGTATGTCTACTTTCCCTCATAGATTAGAATCTTCACAAAAAGCAGAAACTATGTCATATTTATCTTTGAATCCTCAATGTTTGTTGATCAAATGAGTGACTGAATGAATACAAATGATATGATATTCATATCAGGTAATTAGATTTGTTTCCCACTGGTATTCTAGAAACATCTTGGCCATATTTTATTCCAAATGAATGTGAAGCACTCCGGGTATTGTTATAACCCACTTGGATACCACATCAATTTGTCATGAATACTTATGATGCAAATTGAAGACACTATTTACTTGTAGATGACAAACATAATTTATTCCAACAAAGTATCAATCTCTGTGAAATAATACCCAATCTTTACTGATTCAAATAAAGTTAAGCAGCAGTTCCAAGAAAAAGCAATTTTGCTAATCTGTGTACAGGTTCAGATTTCTCACAACTAAATTTTTGTCTGACTTCTTACAAATTACAACGTCCACTTGTGACCACGATGGAGTATCAGAAGTGAGTGTTATCCTACACTTGAAAACTGGGCAAGATTCACAGTGTAGAATGAAAAAGGCCCAAAAGACAGGAGGAATGAGGTGAGCCCTGTTACTGCCCCAGCTCACTCCTATGGCAGATTCTAGGCCACAGTGTCAGAAATGGAAAGCCCCCACAGACCTGAGAGTCTCGCTTAATTATGCAGACAGAGACCAAAGTTCAGGCAAGTTAAAGCGGCTAGTATTTTCAGGAATTAATATCAGAGAGGACGAAGTTTCACAGGGAGAGCGAGAGTGCTCCAGAGAGCTACCCAGTGGGCTCTTTGAGAACTTGGCTGAGTAATGATCTCTGCCCGTGTGAGGAGAAACTGCTGAGGCTGGAGAAGGAGGATGAAAAGGGAAGTTAAGGAGCAGGAAACTGAATAATGCCGAGGTCACACAAGACGTGGAGGTCTGCATTCCCACAAGCTAGAGTGGAAAGATCTTGCAACACATGGATCACTGGGGGTGAAACATTAAAAGGTATTACCTTAGTAGTGGGATTACATCCCCTTAAATTAAATGCCACCCTGGGTTTACCTTAAAGCCGAAGAACAATGAAGCCTGCAACTTAACAAATACAATAACATCTCTTATCCATGACACTTAAAATGTAGGTGTTGCATCAGTTAAAAAAAAAAAATAGGCCTGGAAGAAATAGGAAAATATGACACATAAGAGAAAAATCATTCAAAAGAAACAGACCCAGAAATGGCAGATATTGGAAACACCAATTAAATGTACTCCACATGTTCAAAAAGGTACAAACAGGATGAAGAGAGAAATGGAAAATATAAAAACACCTAAGTCGAACTCCTAACAATGGCAAATACAATATCTAAAATGAATAACATACTGGATAAACTTAACAGAAGATAAATCACTGCAAAAGAAAAGATCATGGAGCCTGAACCTGTGGCTCAGATGATTGGGCATCATCTGGTGCACTGAAAGGTCACTAGTTCAATTCCTGGTCAGGGCACTTGCCTGGGTTGCATGTTTGGTCCCTGGTTGAGGTGCATTTGAGAGGCAACTGATCGATGGTTCTCTCTCACACTGATGTTTCTCTCTCCCTCTCTTTCTCTCTCTCTCCCTCTCTCTCTAAAATCAATGAAAACATATTCATAAAAAAGAAAAAGAGAAGATCATGTAACTTAACAATGGAAAATATCCAAAATTAAGTGTATAGATTAAAAAGACTGAAAAAATCGTCCTGGCTGCATACCAGCATGTCCCAGGTTCGATTCCTGCTAAGGACACGTACCTCAGTTGCAGTTTTTCCCTGGCCCCATGCGGCTGTGTGGGTGGCAGCCAGTCGACGTGTCTCTCTCACATCTATGTTTCTCTCTCTCTTCCTCCCTCTCTCCTTCCCACTCTATCTGAAGATAAGTGCAAAAATGTCCTTGTGTGAGGATAAATAAAATAAAATAAAATAAAAAGACCAAAAAAAAAAAAAATGAACAGAGTATCAGTAACCTATAAAATAATATTAAGCAGTCTAACACATGTAATTTGGAGATGCAGATAGACGGGCAGAAAAGATGTAATAGCTGAGACATTTCAAATTTGTGAAAACTATAATTTACATTTTCAAGATGCTCAATGAACCCCAAGCAAAATCAAGAAAACCATGCCAAGGCAAATCACAATCAAACTGCTATAACCCCCCTCCCCCCCAAATACAATGATAAACGCAGCCGGAGAAAAAAGACACACTACATAAAGAAAAACAAAATTAAAAATGATCATCAACTTCTCATGAGAAACCATGAGTACCAGAAGGGACCAACATCCTTAAAGTGTTGAAAGGAACAGTTAAACTGTCAAAGTATGAAGAAAAAGTACTAATGTTGCACTAACTGCTGTGAGAGAGGCCAGTTGGAATAATATGGGGGTAAATATTTAATTTTCTTTTTACAGATTTAGATGCCATCATGGATTGTTTCGAAAAGCTCAGGTCCCGAGGACAACCAAGGTCTGTACTGCTGAAAGCCCCCAGCATTATTCTCTGCTCAGACTTTGAGAAACGTACTCATGGAGGAAGAAAGATGGACCCCGGAGTGAAATGAACTCAGGGGAGGGGCGAGGTTAAAATGAGGGCATGGCTAGTTTGTGAAAGAGAAAAGCACATCCCTTTACGCAGGAGTAAATGCTTAGGGATACTGACTTTCTGTTAAGTGCTCACCTGAAATACTTTTCTCCTGGACTTTCGGAATAGAAATCGTTTATGCACAGTTGTAATATTTCCCTGCCTACACTGTTAATTTTTGTTTCCTTAAAACTTTAGTCAAGTTTGGTGCACTTACACTGTCTTGTGTGCTAGTTCAGTATAGAGATGATAAAATGACAGAA